CTAAGCCTCTCCGCCCTGAGCCCTAACATACATGCCTCAGTAGTTAGAAAAGGGTTTTGGGGGGTTGTTATGGTATACTTTATACTTATATAGGGACCATAAGGGAATACTATTCGTGGTCCGACCCCTACAACTGACGGATGCAGTCCCGTTTCAGGCGGAGTCCAGCAGGGTGCTATAGCTTGGAACCTCATGATCAGGGGTTTAGGGTCTAGGGTTTAGGGTTTAGGGTTTAGGGTTTCGGGTTTCGGGTTTAGGGTGTGGTCAGACAGAGACACCTACACCCTTCTACCCCTACAACACCAAGCTGCAACTCTGACCCCTAAACCCTAACCCCTCAAAACCCTCAAGAACTGGAACCCTTATGAGCCTTGCCCCTAAGGCCTAAGCGGATTTGCGGCTTACCCCAGCCTCCCAAAACTGCAAGGCTTGAAGAGGATTGGGTCTTGAGAGACGGCAGTCTACTACACCACCACCACCACCCATCACACCTACCACTACTACTACTACTACTACTACTACTACTACTACTGCTACTACTACTACTACTGCTACTACTACTACTACTGCTACTACTACTACTACTACTACTACTACTACTACTACTACTGCCACTCTGAGTGCTATGATGGTACGACTACTACAAATCTTGTTCATCGTCAGCAATCAGAACTATAATCAGAATCATCAACAGAAGGGTGTGCTGAAGTCAGTTTCTGCTGGGTAGCCCGAAACCCTAAACCCTAAACCCAACACCCTAAACCCTAAACCCAAAACCATAACCCCTGAACTCTTCGGCCACGCGCCATTCCCGAGCGCAGGAGTACTCGGACACCGCCTTGCGAACGCTGCAGGTGCAGGCCGATCCGATCGCTCCCTCAGCATTTCTTGGAGTTTATTGAGAGACCCGAAAAGGGCTTGGGGTTTAGGGTTTAGGACTAAGGGTTTAGGGTTTAGGGTTTCCCGCATTCCAACGTTACCGCGTATAAATGCGGGAGAGGGGGGGGGTCGTGGGTGAGCGGGGTCGTGGGGGAGCGGGGTCGTGGGCGCTGCGCAACGCACCCAGCAACATCTCAGGATGGGGTCGTGCATTGACATTGATGGATTGTACCGAAGTGGGTACAGCTGCAAGGATGTCCATGCAGGATATCAAGAACGATTTGCGTCCGAACGTTTGTGCTAAATGCGTGCTAGTGCGCGACCTTGCACGTTGATTAAGTTGATGCGGGGAGCGGGGTCGTGGGGGAGAGGGGGTCGTGGAAAAGAGGAGGGGGCGGGTGGGGGGGGGGTTATGCTCAAACCCCAGGCCCAATTGACCTGTTTGTGGGTCGAGCCATGGCCATATGAAAAGTTGGAGTTTGAAAAAGGCTAGCTGACCTGGCTGCGGAAGTTCTTCTGCCTGTCAGGTCCTGTGATGTCACTTAAAAAACCCCGGAAGAGCCCTGCAGCGCCTGGTAAATGCAAGATCTCCCCGCCTTCACACCCTAAATCATCACCCCTAGAAACCCCAAGCCCTAAAAAGCCCACAGGCCCGAGGCCTTCAAAACCCTGAGCCTGCCAAGCCCTAAACACTAAACCCCAAACCCTAACCCCCCTCCCCCTTCCCCTCCAAACCCTAAACCCTAAACCCTAAACCCTAAACCCTAAACCCTAGACCCTAAACCTTAAACCCTAAACCCTAAACCCTAAACCCCTCATTCCCTACTAAGACCAGAGGGTCCGGGGCAGGTCGAGGATGCCTTGTCCGCACAAAGCCTCGCAGCCGAGGCGGCCGGCGCAGGTGGGGGATTCGTTTCTTTTGGCGGCCCGAAACCCTAACCCTAAAACCTAAAACCTGAACCCTGAACCCTAAACCCTGAACCCTAAACCCTGAACCCTGAACCCTGAACCCTAAACCCTAAACTCTAAACCCTAAACCCTGAACCCTGAACCCTAAACCCTGAACCCTGAACCCTAAATCCCTGATTGGGGTTAGGGTTTAGGGTATCGGGTTGCTTGAGGGGTGTCCCTGTGGAGGCCTTTCGGAGTGCAGGGCCGCGGGTATCGCGGACGACCAGCGATCAATCCCAAAAGCCCGAAACCCTAAACCCTAAACCCTAAACCCTAAACCCTAAACCCTAAACCCTAAACCCTAAACCCTAAACCCTAAACCCTAGACCCTAAACCGTATACTGGAGCCCTAGCAAAAAGCCCTTGAGGCCTTTCCACCCCTGAATCCCAGCTTCTGGTAGGAGTCTTCGCGGAGCAGGATGTCGAGGAGGTGCGTTGGATGCCTAGACTTCGGAAAGTGGGGCGAAGTTACCCTACATTCCGAAGGCCCTCGGTCCCACATCCCCACCCGAGCCCAAAGCTCAACCCTGAAACCCAAACCCTGGAAACCCTCAACCCTCAGCTCCCCAAGCCTATACCCTGAACCCTCAACTTTAACCCCCTAAACCCCAAGCCCCAAAACCCGAAACCCGAAGCCTGACAGGTTCGAGTCCCCGAGCGGGGACTGATCGCCCTCGAGGCGAAGACCTCCGCACAGATGCAGGAGCTGGGGTTTAGGGTTTAGGGTTTAGGGTTTAGGGTTTAGGGTTTAGGGTTTCGGGTTTGGGGTTCAGGGGTTAGGGGGCTTGGGGCTTGGGGTTTGGGGTATGGGGTTTAGGGCTTGGGATTTTTCTGGTTTTCGGGTACTGGGTTTAGGGCTTGGGGTTGGGGGCCTTTGTGGGTTTGGGGTCAGTTTTGGGCTTCAGCTTCGACTCCAGGACCTTTCATCCAAGGTGGCGGCTCTTCGTGTGAAACTGGATGGCCAGTTGAGCCCTCAGTGCGGTCCACGGTGCGCGGTGCTTAGAGGGCCCTTTGTTTCATGTTCGCAGGCCCGCCTTAACCCTTAAGCCCAAACCCCGATCCCTACACCCTACACCCTACACCCTACACCCTAAACCCGCCCCCAGGCTGCTACACCGGGCCGGGAACGAACACAAGAGTTAGAATTCGGAAAGAGATGGGTCTCCCTAAACCCCTAAACCCGAATGTGCCCACCCCCAACAATCAAACCGACAATCTGTTACTATAGTAACGCACGAGAGTAAACCCTGAGCCCTGAACCCTAAACCCTAGACCCTAAACCCTAGACCCTAAACCCTAAACCCTAACCCTAAACCCTAAACCCCAAACCCTAACCCTAACCCTAAACCCTTCTGGAAATTAAGCACCTAAAGACCATAGATGCATGGTACCACAGATATCTTCGTAGAGCACTAGGAGTCAAGGACTCATATTATTCACACATCTCGAATCGACGGGTATGGACGCTAGCGGGCCGGCCCACGCTGCCATCCCAAATTCTGACCTCTGCCCAGTTAAAGCAATTGGCAAATACCTTGGCTACACCGCCCAACGATCCGGTGCACCATGTAGTCTACTCTCCGGGTTGTAAAGATAGGATCAAATTCACAAAATCTTCACACAGAGGACATCCCCAAAGATATTGGCTGGAACTCAATACTGAGTATGCATTACCGGTGCTTAAAGAATACATAAGGCTAAACCGCATAAACACGGAGGAGCAAAGGCAAGACTTCTTAGGCCTCAAACACCTCCTTAATAGGGACCCCCTCTTCCTGTCTTTCCTGGAATCTGCGCCGACGCGCTGCCCCCACTTGTTCAAAAGACACGCCAAAGCACTTGCATGCGCATGGCTGCCATAAAAAAAAAACCCTAAACCCTAAACCCTTCCCCCTTAAACCCTATATAAACCCTAACCGTAAACCCTAAACCCTAAACCCGAACCCTAAACCCTAAACCCTGAAGTTAAGCATTCACGAGCCGCCTCCGCCCAGGCTGCAGCGCATGGCCGGCCTGGCCGAGCGTTTCGAGGAAAATTGTTTTTTTTTGGGGGGTTTAGGGTTCAGGGTCAGGGTTTAGGGTTTGGGGTTCGGGGTTTAGGGTTTAGGGTTTAGGGTCTAGGGTCTAGGGTCTAGGGTCTAGGGTCTAGGGTCTAGGCTTAGGGTTTAGGGTGAGGGGGGGGGTTCTTTACCTACTGCTTTGTAAGAGAGAGTGGGGGGGCCGGACCCTAAGCCCTCAACCCGTAAACCCTAAGCCCTAATTCCTAAACCCTGAACCCTGAACCCTGAACCCTAAACCCTAAACCCTAAACCCCCAAAAGAGATCCTTGGAGCGTCAAGAGCTGGAGGCCAACGAGCCGCTCGCCCTGCTAAGAGCAGACTGGTCCTCGGTGAGATCCCAGGCGGGTCTCGAGCTTGCAAGCATCGGGAGTTTAGGGCTTAGGGGTTTAAAAGTGTAGGGGTTTAGGGTTTAGGGTTTAGGGTTTAGGGATCAGGGTTTAGGGGTTTAGGGTAGGTTTGAAGCCGCAGCCCCAAAGCCAGGGCCCTGGATTTTAACTTTGCGAGGGTGTTTGCTTTGGGGCCCCTGTGCTTTCCGTGATGGGGCCTATGACTTTGCAAGCGCAGGGTTCAGCGTTTCAGTTTGAGGCCCTTACCTGCGTGTTGCACGGTTGGCTGCGGCAGATACACTGGTAGAGGCAAGAACTTCCGAACTTGAAGGGGGCCAAGTAAAACAGGTTCGGTTGGCGGCGGTTATGTTCTTTCCAGTCGGACCTTCGCAGATAGAGTCAGATAGAGTCTAAACTCCCTAAACCCTAAACCCTAAATCCCTAACCCCTAAACCCTAAATCCTAAACCCTAAACCCTAAACCCCATACCCCACATGGGCACCCCAAAGCCCCCGCAATCCGAAACGAAAGCTGCTGCCAGCAAGCTGGGATATTGTGTATGCCACCCCGAAAGCTTAAGGACCTTAGAATAGTCAGTCATATGATACGTAGTATGGTTTCATATTTGGGGTGCTGGGTTTAGCGAAGCAACCGTGATAGCTCACACGAAGTCGATGAGGTCAGCAGTCAAATGAAGTCAGTTTGCAAGAGCCGGAGGTTCTCACAGCTCAAGCCATCCTCCGGGAACTGCACTTTGCGGTGTTTCAGCTAAATCCGAACTCCGATGGAGAACCTCTCCCCGATAGCCTACGAGGCTGCCACAGACAATTTCGAGGCTTTGGTGGAGGCAATGGGTGGGAACGCAGAGAGAATGGACTTTGAGTACACGGATGCGGACAGGTTGGAGGCAGCGGTCCAGGAGCATGAGACATGCATCTTCCTTGTTCTCCTGGGTGGTGGTGATGTGGACCTCTCTAAGAGGGCCAACAAGCTCGTCGTCTCTGAGCCCCGCAGCGATGAAGAGGGCTATGAGTACGTGCACAGCTTCGTCATCATCAAGACAGAAGACGAAGGAGTCAAATGCTTTCAGCAGTTCCCCGGTGGGATGGACAGTGACAAGGAGTGTTTCTCAGTTGATTCCGAGTTTTGGGAGGGCTTGCGGCGCTTGACCGCCCACAGTCGTGCGGGCGTTGTCCCAAAGACCTTCCAAAATCTCTTCTGTGGCTCCACCTCACCGTCAGTACTTCCACCTCACGATTCCATGATCATGAAGGGCATCGGCTTTTGATCGTGTCTGAGCAATGTATCTATTGAGCATGCAACAGCACCCGGATCGAAGATCTGAGTGTCTTGCGGCCGTAATGGCCGCCTAATAAGCATGCAGCATGCGCCTAATATTCCTTTTTAGACGGTCTCCGTCTCGCCCGCACATGGTTTGAGGAGAAAAGACAACTCGGACAGCTTGCAACTGCTCGGATCGAAGTTTGTGCATCAATGAGCTCACCACGGCTGCTGCAACCTACACCCCCATCGGAACACCCAAATGCCGCAAATCCTACTTAGGCCTTCTGAATGAGCCAAGTGGTTGCATTTGCACATGCTTGCACACAAGCCGTAAACCCCAAACCCCGAACCCTAAACCCTAAACCCTGAACCCTAAACCCTGAACCCTGAAGCCCAAACCCTGTGCGTTAGTTTGGTGTGCTTGTTGATGGCCACCTTCGCCAGGATCAGAAGCGGTGGGAAGCCGAAATGGCGGCGGTGCGCAGCCACCTCCAGGAATGGTTTGGGGGGGTTTAGGGGGATTCAGGGGCAGGGTTTTAGTACTTTGTTTTTTGGGTTGTGGGTGTATGGGGGTTTTAGGATTTTGGCATTTTTTTTGGGTTGTGGCTTCAGGGGTTAAGGTCGTTGTCTTTTTGCAAGGTTTGTTTGGGAGCTAATTAAGGGGGTTAGAATTATCGGGGTTGTGGGTTTGCGGGTTCCGGTTTGTGCGCTTGGACGGGGGACTTCAGGGGTGTGCTTTTGGGCTTCGGGAGCATGAGGGTGAGCTAGTGCATGGAGCGGAAGGGCCAAGTAAATTTGCCAGGGGCCTCAGAAGTTCCCAAACCCTAAACCGCCTAAACCCTAAACCAAAGCCTCAAAATAAAATGCGTTCCAGGAGCTCGGCGAACGCGGCTTGCCGGTCAGAGCATGCTTTGTTCCTTGTGTTTGAGCGGTTCTGCCGGGTCAGTTCTTGGGGCTCTGGTGGTTGTTCGGCTTAGCCAAAATCGACCCGTAGGCTCTAAGCGGCTTAGGGTTTCAGCTTTAGGGTTTAAGGGCTATTTGAGGTTTAGGTTTTAGGGCCAGCATCTGCAGGGGGGGGGTGGGAACACGTGGTTGGCTGGCTGTGAGAGCTTGGACAGGACGTTTGCCTGTCAGATCGTCTTGAAGAGCTTTGTTTCCTGAATTGGTGCGAGTATGAATAATTTTCGATCCTGATTGCGATGATACTGATTGGTTTTTGTCTTCTCCTTGTTGTTAGTATATCTAGGTTCTTTGTATTTTGAGTGATATTCTTTTTTTTTGCACTTATTGTTATTCTGGTCATGAATCATATTTGTTCTGAGGAATTCGCCCATAGGCGTCAACCTAATTGGGACTTTTCACGTCGTCCGAGGCCTGGAAAGTTCCCTGAGGGACGTCAACGAGGCCCGACTTGCCACGTGCAGCAGACATCTGGGTTGCCACGCATATCACTGACTGCATCGCCATACGGGAAGAAAAAATCCATATCAGGGGGGGGGCGGGTGGCCTGCAGTGTTTCGCATCCCAAGGGCTGCTCACAAGCAGGAGCATCTGCCAGGAGACACCCCGGGTTTCGGCGCAAAGCGATGCCCGAGCCCCCCCGCTCCATTCACTCGGAGTGCCTGAAGATCGACGTCAAGGCACCAGGGCTGACCACGTCGGCCTACTTGCTGTCGGACCGCATCCGCGCCCTCTTCCAGACGTGCCAGTTCTTCGACGTGCACCTGAGGGTGGGCAATGCAAGATTCCCGGCTCATCAGGCAGTTCTCGCGGCGATGAGCGACTGGCTCCGGCTGAACTTGAAAAGCCTCCTCGAAGAGGAAGAGGGCTCGGACCAGTTGCCGCAGATCCGGCTGGAGCGGATCTCAAATCCGGATGCTGTCATGATCCTCTTGGACGCGGCATACGAGTTGGGCCCGAAGCCCAGCGACCGCATCGTGCCCAAATAGCAGTGTACCTGAGGGGCGAAGAGGGCTTGCAACTGTTTCCGTGTCTTGTGAAAGAGAATCGGTTTCGTGCCAAGGTGGCGAGGGCCCGATCCCTCACGCAGCATTGGCCGATGTGCTGCGCTTATCTCACATGTTTCAGCTCCGCCGGCTTGAAGAACAAGCAGCCTGGGCCTCAGTTGCAGCCGCTGCCTGCGCGAACCCCCCCAAATTCATGCTAAGCCCATCGACCCTAAAAACCCTAAGAAGCTTGTCAGGTGCAGTCGTTGGCAATGGAGATCACAGGTGAGAATGTCTTGGAGCGCCTGGACATCTGTGTGGAATTCAATCTCACCTTCTTGTATGAGCGCATCTTGACCCATCTCCACGAGCAAGGCCTACTCCTTGAGGTCTGCAAGTGCCCGGAGATGTGCTGCTGCCTGACTTGGGTTTACGGCTTAGGGTTTAGGGTTTGTAGGGTTTAGGGTTTTTAGGGTTTTTAGGGTTTTTAGGGTTTGTAGGGTTTGTAGGGTTTGTAGGGTTTGTAGGGTTTGTAGGGTTTGTAGGGTTTGTAGGGTTTGTAGGGTTTGTAGGGTTTGTAGGGTTTGTAGGGTTTGTAGGGTTTGTAGGGTTTAGGGTTTAGGGTTTAGGGGTTAGGGCTAAGGGCCGATAGATCCTGTCACGCATCATGCCACACCGGGGGTTGGCAAGATGCAGGCTACCCGCAGCTCATGCAGCACATGGTGATGTACCTCTCCACCCACGACCTGAAGTGACGGACTTCAGAAGGCAGTAAGACAAAGGTAATTTCGAGGCACGGTTCGTAGCCAGAATGGGCATCTTGGGGGGGAGCAACTTTCTTTGCGATCCCGAAGCCCTAAACTTGAACCCTAAATTCACCCTAAGCCCCTACTGATCTGCTCCTAGAAACGAAGCATCATAGCTATATCCCCATGATTCAAAATAACAGCGCTACTTAATCCTATGGGCAACCCCCCAAATTCTATGGGTTTCCCCTAAACCCTAAACCCTAAACCCTAAACCCTAAACCCTAAACCCTAAACCCTAAACCCTAAACCCCAAATTCTATGGGTTTCACGTGCATGCAGTGGCTCTTCACCGAGGGCAGGTGATGGAACGCTGCGATGTGAATAGCGACTTCGGGAGTGCGAGGCGTAGTGGTGTTTAGGGTTTAGGGTTTAGGGTTTAGGGTTTAGGGTTTAGGGCTTAGGGTTTAGGGTTTAGGGCTTAGGGCTTAGGGTTTAGGGTTTAGGGTTCAGGATTTTGGGGTTTAGGGTTTAGAGTCCTTCTGTAAGCGCTGCTTCTCTGGTGCGCTACATATAGGAAGCTGTAGTACGACAGGGCCGCCACAAGGGATAGACAACCTTCACGTGGGGGCTGTTCGAAACCAGTGTCTGACTTGTAGGAATCCTTTGAGGTTCCTTGCGAAAGGCCCAATTTCAATTTGTTAGGTGCATGTCCTTTTTTTGTTTGCAGTAGGTTCAGTAGGTACTTACAGAGTAAAGCCCGCAAGCTTCGGTGACCCATGGAGCCTCAAAAGTCCACAGTTGGCAGGGTTAGGGTTCAGGGTTCAGGGTTCAGGGTTCAGGGTTCAGGGTTCAGGGTTCAGGGTTCAGGGTTCAGGGTTCAGGGTTTAGGGTTTAGGGTTTAGGGTTTAGGGTTTAGGGTTTAGGGTTTAGGGTTTAGGGTTTAGGGTTTAGGGTTTAGGGTTAGGGTTTAGGGTTTAGGGTTTAGGGTTTAGGGTTTAGGGTTTAGGGTTTAGGGTTTAGGAGGGTATCTCCTACAAAAGCTCTCCCGAAGATGTGAGGAAGATTTCGCAGAGTCAGTTGCGCCATCCGAGCCAACTGCCACAGACGGAGCTGTGCTACCGGCCCTCGCAATGCTTGCCAGCCATTGCAGTTCAAAACACATGTTCGGATGGATCCCTAAACCCTAAACCCTAAACCCTAAACCCCTAAACCCTAAACCCTAAACCCTAAGCCCTAAACCCTAAACCCTACACCCTAAACCCCTTCGCCCTACACCCTACACCCGAAACCCTAAGCCCTATGCCTTTCAGGCCTTCCGGAAGAACACGGCGGAGTGCCGGCGCCGAGACTTTCGGGTTCCCAGGGATTCCAAGGTACCCCTTATTGAAGAGTCCTGAAGTCGCAAAATAGGGACTCCCTACACGGTTTAGGGTTTAGGGTTTTGGGTTTAGGGTTTAGGGTTTAGGGTTTAGGGTTACACCGACTCAAGCGTAAGGAGTATGCCTGAAGGAAAGGGGTATTTGGCAGTCTCCCGGCCCAGGTAAAAAGGACAGGAGCCCCCCAATCATTATCAATCTACCATACCTCAAGCCCTCAACCCTCAACCCTCAACCCTCAACCCTAAACCTAAACCTTAAACCCTAAACCCTAAAATATACCCATACCTCAAGCCGTAAGGCTTGATAAGGCCTAAGAGCCAAAAGCCCTGAACCGTAAAAACTGTAAACCCTATACCCTTCAAGCGTAGAACCCGCAACCCTTCAGTTGAAATCAAAGCCCTAAGCCCAAAAACCCAAAAACCCTCGATCTTAAGCCCCAAGCCCCGAACCTTACACCATGCTTCCAGCATTGTGGTGGCGTTCCCGCCGAGGCTCTTCGCACTCCGTCCTCTGCGCGGCACGATGGAGCAAGTGCAGGCGTCGGCATAGACGTTTGGGGAGTTTAGTGTTGCAGGGTTTTATAGGTTTTCGGGAATGGGGTTTAGTTTTTTTCTTTGTTGTCTGTTTCCCCGGCGTGTGTGAAGAGGACATGGCTGCGTCCACAAAGGGAGCAGCATACAATCACCACAGACCCTAATTAAACCCTAAACCCTAGCCCCTAAACCGAAAGCCTCAATCCGACACAGCCCCCGCCCATCGTGAGGGAGAGCTTCAGTCGCTGACGCAGCAGACGCTGGCACTCTCCGCCACAGCGCGAAACCTAGTTGAGAGGTTGTTCCGAGTCACGGATGGAGTCTAAGTTGGGATGGGGCTGCGTATTTATTTTTATTCTGATGGTTTTTTTCTTTATTCCTTCTGGGCCGGCCAAGAATTTGGGGGGGTTTTCGGATTTTATTCTGCGGGTTTCTGCAGGTTATTCAGAGGGTTCCATTCCTTATTCCCCCTGTTGGGATTCTTATCCCCAAGGTTTGGTTTTTTATTCTCACGGTGCCCCCCTTTATTCCGATGGTTTTTTTTTTAATTCCCCCCCCCCCCCCCCCCTCCCTCCCCCCCCCCCCCCCCCCCTCCCCCCCCCCCCCTCCCCCCCCCCCCCCCTCCCCCCCCCCCCCCTCCCCCCCCCCCCCCCCCCTGCGTGGTGGCTTAAATAGAATTTATTCGATTATTTCGATTAACCCTTCCCCTGCCCATTCCCTCCCCCCCCTCCCTCCCCCCTCCCCCCCCCTCCCCCCCTCTCCCCCCCTTCTCCGTCCTCCTCCCGCCTTTCCTGACCTGCTTTTCACTGCCTCGCGTGTGGGTGTGTGGGTGTGTGTGGGTGTGTGGGTGCGTGGGTGTGTGGGTGTGTGGGTGTGTGGGTGTGTGGGTGTGTGGGTGTGTGGGTGTGTGGGTGTGTGGGTGTGTTGGCAGTGTGTTGGTGTGTGTTGGTGTGTGGGTGTGTGGGTGTGTTGGTGTGTTGGTGGGTGTGTTGGTGTGTTTGGCGTGTTGGTGTGTTGGTGTGTGGGTGTGTGGGTGTGTGGGTGGGTGTGTGTTTGTGTGTGTGTGTGTGTGTGTGTGTGGTGTGTTGTGTGTGTTGTGTGTGTTGTGTGTGTTGTGTGTGTTGTGTGTGTTGGGTGTGTTGTGTGTGTTGGGTGTGTTGGGTGTGTTGGGTGTGTTGGGTGTGTTGTGTGTGTTGTGTGTGTTGTGTGTGTTGTGTGTGTTGTGTGTGTTGTGTGTGTTGTGTGTGTTGTGTGTGTTGTGTGTGTGTGTTGTGTGGTTGCGTGTGTGTGGTTGCGTGTGTGTGTGTGTGTGTGTGTGTGTTGTGTGTGTGTGTGTTGTGTGTGTGTGTGTGTGTGTGTGGGTGTGTGTGTGTGTGGTTGTGTGTGTGGTTGTGTGTGTGGTTGTGTGTGTGGTTGTGTGTGTGTGTGTGTGTGTGTGTGTGTGTGTGTGTGTGTGTGTGTGTGTGTGTGTGTGTGTGTGTGTGTGTGTGTGTGTGTGTGTGTGCGTGGGTGGCGTGTGTGCGTGGGTGCGTGGGTGTGTTGTTGTGTGGGTGTGGTGGGTGGGTGTGGGTGTGTGTGGTGTGTGGGTGTGTGGGTGCGTGGGTGGTGTGGTGTGTGTGTGTGGTGCGTGTGGTGGTGTGTGGTGTGTGCGTGTGTGCGTGTGTGCGTGTGTGCGTGTGTGCGTGGTGCGTGTGTGCGTGTGTTGGCGTGTGTGCGTGTGTGCGTGTGCGTGTGCGTGTGTGCGCGTGCGCGTGTGCGCGTGTGCGTGTGTGCGGTGTGCGTGTGTGCGCGTGTGCGCGTGTGCGCGTGCGTGCGTGCGTGCGTGCGTGGTGGGTGGGTGGGTGGGTGGGTGGTTGGTGGGGTGGGTGTGTGTGTGTGTGTGTGTGCAGGGCAGCGCAGGGACGGACACAGGTGAACACAGGGCACGGACCCAAAAAGCGCAGGGACGGGACACAGAAAGAACAACAGGGCACGGACAGGGACGGACAGGGGACAAGGGAACAGGTGACAGGGGATAGGGCACAGGGGCAGGGGAGAGGGGACAGGGCGCAGGGGCAGGGGACAGGGGACAGAAGGCGGAACAGATGGGGGACAATGGAAGGGACAGACAGGGACAGGGGATAGGGTTTGAGAAGTAGAAGTAGAAGTAGAAGTAGAATAGAAGTAGAAGTAGAAGTGAAGTAGAATAGAAGTAGAAGTAGAAGAAGTATAAGAAAGTAGTAAGAAGAGTAGCAGTAGTAGCAGCAGCAGCAGCAGCAGTAGGAGTACTAGTAGTAGTAGTAGTAGTATAGTAGTAGTAGTAGTAGTAGTAGTAGTAGTATTAGTAGTTTAGTAGGTAGTAGTAGTAGTAGTAGTAGTAGTAAGTAGTAGTAGTATAGTATAGTAGTAGTAGTAGTATATCGTCGTTGTCGTCGTCGTCGTCGTCGCCGTCGCCGTCGCGCCGTCGCCGCGCCGCGCCGCCGCCGTCGTCGTCGTCGTCGTCGTCGTAGTTGTAGTAGTCGTAGTCGTAGTGTCGTCGTAGTCGTCGTCGTGGTAGTCGTCGTAGTAGTCGTCGTCGTCGTTCGTCGTCGTCGTCGTCGTCGTTCGTCTCGTCGTCGTCGTCGTTGTCGTCGTCGTAGGTAGTAGTAGTATAGTAGTAGTAGTAGTAGTAGTAGTAGTAGTAGTAGTAGTAGTAGTAGTTAGTAGTAGTAGTAGTAGTAGTAGTAGTAGTAGTAGTAGTAGTAGTAGTAGTAGTAGTAGTAGTAGTTGGAGGAGGAGGAGGAGAAGTAGTAGGAGTAGCAGTAGCATAGTATAGAGCAGTAGCAGTAGTACGAGTAGTAGTACCAGTTCGCGCGAATGGCCAGAGCAATCCATGCCCGCACGATGATAACGTCCATGCTTCCAGTCCTGCGAATGGCCAACATCCATGTTACCGATCCGAAATGCGGCGGCTGCGCCTTATTTTTGGCTGAGGATAAGGACCTGGCCCTCATTCAGGTGGAGGATAAGCAAACGTGTCAGGTTGCGGATAAGCAAACGCGGCGGTTGTGCCTTATTCTGGTCGAGGATAAGGGCCTGGCCCCCCGTCTGCGCCTCATTCTGGCTGAGGACCTGG